TGTAAACCTGCCAGTTTTCTCACTGAAGAATACAATGATACTGTCATACCACGAAAATGGATATATCAATCCTCATACCCCAGTGACCACTTGAATCCTATTATGTACTAAAACCTAAATTATTTAGTATTTCAATAAGTACATGCTAGGTTACTTCTGCTTTCTTACTGAAAATAACACCAAGATGAATTTTTTTTTGTTTAAATATTCCAGAATTTTATTATAGGTTTTTATGTGACAATTAAAGGATAGGTATTTTTTATGGTGATTTAGAGTTTAAATTGGTATTTTTATATAAGTTGACCACTCATCTGATTATTTCCCATGAATAGAATTTCCCATGAATAGAATTTTTTACCCATTATTTTGCATCCTTTTGATATTGAGTAGGTGCTCTGACAAAGAAAAATGATAATCCTTTTCATTCATACCAGCAATTTATGAGAGTCCTCCTTTAATCTTTAATGTTCAGACAATGCAGATCTCAAGTAGAATTACAAGTTAAATAAAATTGTCTGAAACCCCATACCTATACTGCAGACTTCTATCCTGTAATTTTGACCTTTGTAACACAAGTTTCCCCGAGGAAGCTCTGTGTTTCTTATATGGTAGGGAAGAACAATCTTAGGGCCCAACACTCTGCTTTGGCCAACCAATGCCCAGATGAGTAGAACCACACCAATGGCTTCATATTTCATTATTTCATTGCCTGACACAGAACATGGATAAGGGGAAATGCCACACCAATTTTGCAGTGACCGGCACATATTAAAGGTAGAAAGAGTTAGGAGCTATTTTTACGATTTCACCAAGAAGTGTTCTAAAGGGACCTCCTGACTGACAAAAGAAACATTTTAAGTATGGAGTTTGCAGGAGCTCCCAGAAGGTACATTGAAACAGAGTTCTTTTCTCTCGTTTTTCCCTTGGAGTTCAACATATGACTGGAGATTGTACATAAGCTAGAGAAAATTTTGAATTTCTGGGAAATTCATTAACCCCATTTTGAATTTTCTTGTATTGTTGAGAACTTATGGTCAGAAATTCAAATTTTCCATGATTTAATAATGACTTTGTAAATTCTACCTTCTCTTAGCTAATTGTGTACTTACCTAATGCTTACCTAAAGGATATTTTATCTTCAAGGAACAGTAAAGTGCAGTAGCAGAGACTTTGGAAGACAGAAGCTGAGTCCTGAGTCTGGGCCCAGCTCTCCCACTCGACTTCTCCAAATATACAATGTGCATTACTACGGTGATTGACCCATACCTATGTTGTGAAGAGTAACTCTGCTAAAACACTGGAGCACGTGCAACAACACCTGAACCACAGTAAGGATTACTAAAGTGCTGGCCAACTCACCATTAGCAACTTGTGTTTATTGTTTAAAATCTGAAAAATTATTTATTGGCATATTAGTTTCCCATGGCTATTATATCAGGCTACCACAAATTTAGCTTATTATATTATATCAGTATTCTAAAATCAGTCAAACTGAGCTAAAATCATAGTGCTGGGAGGGTTTTAGGCCTTACTGGAGGTGTTAGGAGATAATTCACTTTATAACCTTTTTATAGCTTCAGAAAGACTAGCCACAATTCTTGGCTTATGTTCCCCTTTGTTGAAAGCCAGGGACTCAAACACTCTCTCACATCGGCTTTGATTCTCTAGCCTCCCTCTTTTCTTCTAAGACCTTTTGTGTTACATTGAGTTCAATAGGATATTCCAGACTAATCGCCTCATCACAGAATCCTTAAATTAATAATATCTGCAAGGTCTGTTTGACTTATAAAGAAATGTATACCTGGATGCTAGGGGTTAGGGCATCAGGATCTTGGAAGAGGCATATATTTCCCACCAAACACTGGCCATCACTATTATGGTTATTAAGTTTATTAAAGCAGCAAAATAACAATAAGTTTACAATATTTTGAGAGACATTTTTCTGATAATAAAGGCAAATGCTAAGGTAGATAAAAAAATTTGCTGCTACAACAAATCATAGATAATTATTTTCTTTGTGTTCATTTAACAGAGGAAATTCAAACTTTATATTAGCATCTACAACCCAGCTTCTGGGGATATAATTAAGAGACAAATGTAATAATAACAATTGAAGTTACAAATAATAATTAGGCACTAGGTGAAGAGCAAGATGCCAGAGCAAGGGCTGATTCAGAAGACAGGGGAAGGGATGGGCCCCTGTGTTGTAAATTGTGCCACATCTTAGTTACTCTATCATCTCGGGTTGAAGCTGCAGGAAGTAATTATCTCAAACTTGTATTCAAGAACCTTACTGACTTAGAAACAAATTTTCAGCATGACCAGAAACATGTGATTCATTTGTGTTTCCTGCAATTGTTTCCTTTTAGAAAATGTGCTTGGAACTTAAGTTGTGGTAATTTTATTGTAACTGCAGATAGATTCAAAGGTTTGGTATTTTCAAAAATGTATTTCCCTCCAGCACATTTTATGTAACAATCCTACAATTATTTTAAAGAAATTCTACTAGAATTATATCATCTTAAAAACATAAAAAGAAATAACCTTCACCTTTTTGACTTCATGTATTTAAAATCATTCAGTCATTAAACAAATACTCCTAATGTGCCAGTTATCTTTTATATGGTAGGAACAAATAGGAAACAAAATAGGGAAACAGCTTAATCACATGGAGTTTAAGTTCCAGAATTAAGAGACAAATGTAATCATATCTAATAGCTTAGATGCTTCTGAGGAATGTGAAGAAATATGAAGAAATGAATTATGAGCATCCTACACCCCTCTGAGAAGGTTGCTATTGATAAAAGTCCTGAGGACATAGCAGATCACCTTGCACAGATGTAGGAAACCCCAGAGAAGAGCGCTATGGAGGCTGAGGTTCTAGACTGCGGGTTGCCCTGAGTGAAGCACAGTGTCGGTGAGGGACAAGTGTAGACTCAGTGCAAAAACTAAGCACACTGAGGAATCCGTGATTTCAGAGGATAAAATGCCCAGGGGATCATGAAGTTATTCCAAGTTTTGAGCAGAGAGTGATATGGTTTCCTGAGTTCACTCTGATTACTATGCTGAGACAAAACTAAAAGAACACAGGAGGGAGGGCAGAGAGACCAAAGAAAAGCTCCTAGAACAACCAAGTTGAATGATAAGAATTGCAATAATGAAACCAGGCCACTAGCTTTATACCTGATGAGAGGTAAACATGTTCCATTTGAATTATTTATATTTTTAAATAAAATATTTGAATTCCCTTAATATGATGAAGAGAAAATACATTTTCTCTCCCTGAGTATGGAATAGCTTTATTAAGACATTTTTTAGTCTAACATAGGATTGTTCTTTTATATTAATAGACATAACAAAATGTATTTTAAACAATATTTATTTTCAATTGTCCTTAGAGGACGGAACGCAATATAAATGAATGTAATAGTAGGCTAATACATACTGACAAGAACTTTGTAGTTTTGACCACAGGTATTTTAGGAGGCCTGGTAAAGGAGGCCATTGTCTTGAGCTGTCTTGCAGAGTAATTGGAACATGTCAATCAGAGGGAAACTTGGAGTGAGTCAATTTAATTTTGATGTTAGAATCTCACTTTTGCATTAGATTCTATCGATTCTGTTTTGCTTTGCTATTAGTCAATTTCCACTGTCGTGACAATTATTGAACTTTTTAAACCTTTTATGACTTTCACATAGTAAAGTTCAACCAGCTAAATTTGAATTTCAGATAAGCATCAAATTTTTTTTAGTGCAAGTGTATAACAAACAAACTAAACAGCTGAGCATTCTGTATTTTTATTATGAATCCTGGCAACCTTAGTTGGAGGAGCTGAGGTTGAAATCATGAGTAAAAACACACAACTGAACTGCATCATTTGTCTGGGTTTCCCCCATTACTGGACTCTTATTTATGCATATGCAAATATGTGCTTCTCAAGCAAATGAGACATAATTTTGTGGGAGAAGGGCATTATAGTACATGTGTGGCTCTTTTTCCTTTTCTCTTTTTAATAATTCTTCGGTTCATCTGGTAAGAGAAAGACATGAAAATTCCCTTTCTAAACTGTAGCCACATGCTCTCACTTTCCTATGTATCTACTGCATAGCTTTCTAAGCCTAAATTAAGCTTTGGACTCATGGCAGGCAAGTTTTGGCAAACACCCACCTTGGTTGACTCCTTGTTCCTGTGTGTCTCTTGCTCACATGACTTCAAGCTACCAACATTTTATTTTGAACCTCTTTTTCCCACTTTCCAAACCCACATTTGCAATGGGGAGTAATGGGGGAGCAATTTGTTGGCATAATCGTAACTGCAATTTAAGAATCTATTTCTGGAAGGTTTTTTTCCAGAAAACTTAAGAGAGTCAAGAAACTATTTGAAAACAACATTTTATAGGAGCATTGGAAAAATAAATATTCTATAACAAAGCCTTGCAAACAATACTGAGGAGGTTCAAACTTAGATACAAGCAATAATAAAGAATGACAGGTTCATAAGGTACATTTCATTCATTAAGCCCCTCTAATGGCCTAGCCCTTCATTTCCTCACCTTTATTCACATTATTCATTTCACACACATTTATCCATTCAATCAATCAATGAATCAATCATCTTATTCCCCACCAGGATTTCCTTAGCCCTGTTATGGATGTGAGAAACATAGAATGAACAGAGTAGAAATGGTCAGTGCTCTACTAATTTACAGCTTACACCAATTTTGTTATTCAATTACCATGATCTATGCATATCACATGAACATAGACATAACATAAGGACCATTCTCCAACGGGAGAAAGATCCACATTTGCTACTTAATGAGATGTGTGATGGTTTGATTGTTTGTCTCTATTCTACCCCTGGTGAAAATTCATCCCAACCTGAAGCCTCTGAAGTGTCATCTCCATGCAGGTTTCTGCCACATTGACTGTCTCTGGTCTAACTTTTACTTACAGCCGTTGTGTGTCCCTGTTCTCCTGGAGCTGCCATATGCAATATTAATGAGAAACAGAACTTCACCCTCTGACTTTATACTGCTGGGGCTTTTGCTGAAGAGTGAGATTACAGGGATTGTGTTTACAGTTATCTTTGTTATTTTTGTGGTGGCAGTAATGGCAAATTTGGTCATGATATTCCTGATTCAGGTGGACTCCCGCCTTCATACCCCCATGTACTTTCTCCTCAACCAACTGTCTATAATGGACACCCTTTTCATTTGTACCACTGTTCCAAAGCTCCTGGTGGACATGGTTTCTAAAGAGAAGACCATTTCCTTTGTGGGCTGTGGCCTCCAGATCTTTCTCTACTCGACCACAATTGGCTCAGAGTTCTTCCTGCTCGGCCTCATGGCCTATGACCGCTACGTGGCTGTCTGCAAACCTCTTAGGTATCCAGTTCTGATGAACCGCAAGGTGTGTCTTTTGCTGGCTGCTGGTGCCTGGTTTGGTGGCTCACTTGATGGCTTCTTACTCACCCCTATCACTATGAATATCCCTTATTGTAGTTCCCTCAGTATTAACCACTTTTTCTGTGAGATCCCTGCAGTTCTCAGACTGGCCTGCACTGACACATCCTTATATGAAGCACTGATGAACATCTGCTGTGTGCTTATGTTGCTCATTCCCGTCTCCATTATCTCTATTTCCTACTCGCTAATCTTGTTGGCAGTCCATCGCATGCACTCTGCTGAGGGCCGCAAAAAGGCCTTTACCACTTGTTCATCCCATTTGACTGCAGTCAGCATTCTCTATGGGGCTGCCTTCTACACTTATGTGGTGCCACAGTCATTCCACACACCAGAGAAGGACAAGGTGGTGTCTACCTTCTACACCATAGTCTCACCTATGCTAAACCCTCTCATCTATAGCCTCAGAAACAAGGACGTCATGGGGGCATTTAAAAGGATACTTACACATTGCTCTTCTCAGAGGGTAGTAGCAAGCATTGCTTAGTGACTCAATGCATGGTGATGGGACTTACTAAGTACTTCCTCCATGTGTTCCTATCACCTAAGACCACTGGGTCAGCTGTCAAAGTTTATTTACTATAGGCAGTTCTGATGGCTTATTTCTTCTGGATTCTTACTCCTAGGGGGAGGAGGCATGTTTCACTAGTTATGTAAAAACCTTTAAGAAAAAGAACAAAAACTATTTGTTACTTAGCAAGTTAAAATATTAATCATATCTTGGTTCTTGTTTCTATGGGAAAAAAACATAGAGCAGAGTTTATAGCAACACATTTACTAAGAACCAGGTGTTCTTCAAATTTTACTTCCGATTTAACAAAACAAAGAACCGTAAGAGGCTATCAAATTTTGGGTGACAGCTATTCTGCAATTATTTGTGTACAAAGTAAAAGACTGCTTATCCATAAGAGACAAAAAAGATAAATCACACAACTTAATCAGGTTTGTCATTATGGGAGTGACACCAATAAACTGTGAGCTCAATGTTCATCTTGGAATCTCTTGTGCTAAATGTAGCAGCTCTCAAATGCTCAGCCACAATACATTCATGATGGATGTTACAGAACCAACTATGAAAACATCAATGTCCAAGAATTACAAAACCACTCAAAGATAATAGAGTCTAATATTTAATATGAAAGAAGTTGGCTTGTCAACTTCTGTAAAGGTATAATTAGAGCATCCATGACCAGATGCTTCAAATGTCTCATCTCTGTGTGATTTGGCAACAGTGCTCTGAGTGAAGTGAGAAGACCGTGAAGAATTTTTCAAAGATGAGTGACTTAAGATGCACATTTTCAAGGGATCTCTGTGTCTGTGCTGTGAAGAACAGAGAACAAACATGGATGCAAAAAGTCAACTCAAGAAGTTTCAAAGAAGAGAAAGTCACCTGAAGAAGAATAGAGACCAAAGAGGTATTAGCTCACAGATTTTATGTATATTGGGAACAAATGTTGTTTTGGCTTAAGTGAATACTGAAATCAAGGGCAGGTCATTTTAGAGCTCTGAAACTAAGGTCTTCTTTTTGTAGTCTTTAGAGCATGAAGACTACTTAAAGACAAAGGGCTAGTTGAGATCAATTAGGAGAAAAGATTTAAGACTGAAACCTGAGGCAATTGGCGTCAGATGACAAGTAAATAAAATAATGATAGAATTTGCCAAGGTGAGAAAAACACTGTTTGGGGAATGGATGAAGAAGTTGGTTAAGGACAGGGCATACTGAACTGCAATACGTACAGGTAATAGCTGGATGAAAATAAGGGGTAAGACTCAATCGTGGTATGTGGCAACATGGAGACCACTGTGGCATTCACTAGTGCAATTTCAATGGCAATGTACTTGGAGAGGGATCAAGATAAAGTGGAGAGAGAAGAAGTTGGAAAGATGAATAGAATACAAAGTTTTGGTTGAATTAATTCCCTTGTGGTTTTTTTTTTTGTAAAGGAGAGAAAATAATTTGAGCTTAGCTAGAAGGACCAATGTGTTTAATATTGATGCTATTATTGTTTTGTGATATTAGAGATATTTACACATTCAAGGTCATTACTCAATATATAGATAAAAGTAAAGATGAGTGAGAGGTGGAATAAACTTCCAGAAGGATAGCCTTTGAAAGTGGCTGAGAGTGTGGACATCAGTGGAGAAGAGGAGGGTCTGACCTTCTGTCTGTGCAAGGATCATACAGTGACTGGATCAAGAGCAGGGAAAGGCAGATATGGTTCTCATGAACACACTTTGGATGGTTTCTACTTTCTCAGTGCAATTAGAATCAAGGAGACTTCTGTGAGTGAAAAGCAGAGAGGTCTTAATAAGTGTTGGGGAAATAAAGAGAATCATCTTGGAGAGTAGAAAAGTTAGTGAACTAGGTAGATGTGTTAGGATTATAAGAAAACCATAGGATCCATTTGGAATTGAAGTTACAAATTCAAGTTAAACATGTTTATCAGATAATTCATGGCATTGATTCAGTATGGTATCTACCAGACAGTAAACACTCAATGGTATAACTACAATGAAGTATGGTAATAATAATGACAAGATCATGGTAGCAGCAGCTATTATCATTACTACCACAGAATTAGCATTGCCTCTGTGAGGAAAACATACCATATTCACATATACTTTTTTCTGTTACAGCGTGTAACAGAAGTTCAGTTTGTTTGCTTCAATGAATTGGTCTTTTTTGGGATAATTAAAATCAGAACAACCAGCATTCTTGGAAGAGTGGAACTTCTTGTAAATGCAGCATGATTTGGCATCCAAAAGCGACATACTTTCCTTCTAAATGCTAATTATTTATGTTTACAAGTTTAAAATAGCTTTACCCCCAAATGATTCTCCCTCTAGTCTGTGTGTTGTGATGGTTTCTCTGAACAGCTGAGTTCCCATCTAGTATGAGAAAATGTTCCTGTCCTTACCTTGTTGCACTTAGTGAATCTCTCCTAGGTTTTAAGAGATTTCACTGAAATATTCCACCTCCTACCAATAAACCCACTGATTATACAATCTGTTGAGTGAATTGATATCCCTAAACTTTTTCTAATTAATATTTAATTGGTTTTTAATTATTTTCACCCCAATTTCAGACATAATTTATTATTACAAAGGCTATAAGCTTGGACTTAATCCCCATGGAATTTGAATCTTGATCTTCTAATTTCTGGACTATGTTCCTCTTGGCATGTTACCTAACCTCTCTGTGCCAAACTTCACTATCTTGCTACGAGTTAAACCGATGTTATAAATGGGGAGTGGGTTTTTAGAATAGGTATTCCCTATGATTCCAGCCATTTTTCTTTGATCAGTGGGGGGGGTCTATCTTGTCATTTGTTCACTTGACACGTTTATGTGGGATTCTCCAGACACAGCTCTCACCAGAAACACGTTTCTTTTGATTCATTAAATAGCTATAAACATCAGGCATTATAACCACTGACATTCACAAAAATATCTGAGACATTCATACTTATTTCCTTTTTCCTTTGGCTTGTGAATCTATCTCCCCAGAATGAGAAATGTATAAAAAAAATCCTCAAGTGATTGTTTTCATATTCCATCTAGACACCAGTATCATACAACTTTGAAATCATCCTTTGGCCACTTTGTAGCTAATTACAGACACTGTCTTCAAATAACAATGTATGCTTTTTGTGTTCTTTAAAACAGTGAAAAGAAACACACACAAATAAATGGCAGTAGAGTGGACCTCTGAACAACTAATGGTGACATTTGACATAGAGCATTTTCCAGATTCAACAGACCCTTCGTTGTCATCACCATCCTTAACTGGACTCTGTGTGTTAGACCACAGATGTCTGATTCTGAAACCAGCATCACTGCTTACAACCTTGCACAAGTCAGTCTGAGCCCTGAATGTCTATCTTCTTCATCTGAGTAAGCATGAACATGTTCATGTATAGAGCTCTATTCTTGCTCACTGTCACTGGTGAGTCATTTATCATCATTATCGGCTTCACCATCACTATTATCATCACTACCACACATGGACTAGGAGCTCAGGCTAGCAGTCAGAAGCCCTGCATGTGAGCTCTGTGAGACGTGGGCTATGTGCCATCCCCAGGTGCTGGCCTCCATAATGATGTCCACCTCAGACACTAGCAGGAAAGCCAGTGGAACACTGACATCCTTGTAAGCCCTTCCAAAGAGACTTGTGGTGTGAACCCTCATCAGTCCAGCATTGGTTTGTGTACAGCGTCCTCTCCATCAGACAGGCACTTTGTATGCGGTATCTCATTTGACTCTGCTATTGCTCCGGAAACATTTGGGAAAAATATAATGCATCACATAAAATCGCTATACATATAACTATTTAATTTATTGACAAATAATAATTGCCTAAAATGTCTACCTTCTTATTTATAGCCAGATTTATTTATTTCTTCCTTTCTCTTTTTCTCTTTTTTTCTTTTGCTGGAGCCATCATATTCTAGCACTCACCAGATAGATTTCTGTAATTATCAATATAATAGACACTGTACCTTTAAATATATTTCTTAGTCAACTTCTTTCATTTTATTTTGCAAAAGTTAAAGAAAAAAAATTACTCAGCATACAATCACAGCTATTCAGGACACAGAGATTGAGAGAATTGCAGTTCAAGCTCAGCAGGGCAAAAGTTACTGAAATACCATCTCAACCAATAAGCTGTGTATGGTGGTACATGCCTGACATTCCAGGAGGTGTAAATATAAGAAACAAGGTCCAGGAAAGTCTGGAAAAAAGCTTAAGCCCTTATCTGAAAAAGATCTAAAGCAAAAAGGGTAAAGGCCTGTCTCAGATGGCAGAGCACCTGACTAGCAAGCAGGAGGACCTGAGTTCAAAGTCCAAATCACAAAAAGTTCCCCATACTCTTACAATTACAGGAAATGTTTGGGAAGTTTTATTTGCAGCTATTTTATTTTCTTAGGCTCACTTAGTGACAGAAGCAATAGAGAGAAATGATCATATTGTAAATGTCATTCTCTTTTATTATGAAGTGTAACATACATATGGCATAGATGTGACAAAAAGCCCATGATTTAGTGAGTATAGACTCATGAAATGGTGCCACCTCAAGAGACAAAACATGCCCAGAGACCTCAATGTTTCCTCCAATCACCACACACCCCTGCAGCAAAAGCAAATGTCATTCTGCGTCTCATTAAGTATGACTGTGAACTGCTTAGATATGCAGAAAGTGTTATAATCTCTAGTAATCTCTGATCAGAAGACTCCTAAATTCTTGCTTAATTTGTGGAAGAATCCATGGAGGACACATGGTATACTATGAGAGGTAACAAAGTTTATTGTAGGTGAGGGTTGCCAAGAAAGGTGGGGAGTGGGGAGAGAGGATTGGTTCAAAGCATCAATATCCTGCTAGTGGGGAAAGATTTCAGAGGTCCCAGTGGGTCAGGCTAGGGTGATTGACAATTGCTCTGAGTATGTTAAGCATGAATGATGTGTAATTAATATTTATGTTTTAAGCAA